TGATCGGGGGGAAAGGGATTGTTAGTAATGGAGACAGAATCCCATTGCTAGCAATATACCCAACCAGGTCGACATCCTCGCGGTATCCCCTGGAATGTATCATGGTTAATTCCTGATGAATTCATCATGATGCGCTAACTGGCCTGTTTTCATTCTCATCTGTCACCCTTCACTGGTGCTCCGCCAGCGTATCCCGTTAGCGCAAGCGGGGTTACCATATCATTTTCACCCATAAAAAAGAAAGTCCTCTATGATAAACTTCATCTGTCAAGGTATAATAATAATATAAATAATTAATATAATATAATATAATAATTAATATAAATTTACAAACATATATATATAAGAAAAAATAATTAAGTACCTACTGACCAGTTAAGAAACTCATTCCGTTCGAAGTCTCCGTAAAAATATTTCCACGAATAACAAAAATTTAACACACCCAAATGAATCGATTAGACCATATATAATTTCATCCGGTAACAAAACTGTAATACGGGTTTTAATTGTTTCGAAGGAAAAAATGTATCCGCGCCATTTTGTTTCCCGCCATTTTTAAATGCCCTTCACGCTTCAACAACCAACGAGCGTTCGATATAGCCAATATATTGTTAGATATTGGGTTGGAAATAAAAAAAAAAATGTTTATACCTATTTCTGGTGACATCCGGATTAATTTTATCTTGTCAATGGACAGGTTATGCAAAAATTTTATTAGGTGGCGCCACTTGTAGGTTTATTGCTAAGAACAAGGATTAAATAGAAGAAACGATAAAATTAAAAATTGTAAATCATATGGTTGCCTCCTTTCTTCTTACGCAAATATAATTAGTAAATAGAGGACGAAAGATACACCATCAGTTGCTATTTTTCTCAATTCATAGCAGGCTGGTGTATAGAAAATGTTTGATATGTCAATTATTTGTCGATGTCAAATTTTACATTACTAGATTATATATTGGACACAGTTTATGCAGAAAGTATGCGAGCAGGTTGTGTCTAAATTTGGTAGGGTTATACGGCCGTATAACATTTTATATACACTAGCCTGCTATGAAGTTTTTATTTTTCCATTCCTTCTATGTAATTCCTTGTTCTTAGATCTATTGACAAAGCGTCGACTTAATCCCCTTTTTTGTAAAAACTAAAACCTCCGACATGGCTTTTTTAAGTATTACACTTGATGAAAATTGCCACCTTTATTTATTTATTTATTTACCAGACGGAGACTTTGTACAAAAGTCGATTGCTTGGGTACCTCTGTCCTATTCGTGTTTCAACCGTGAAGCAGTTGTGTTTGCATGGCTGTGTTTCGGTTTGAAGGGTTGGATATGGCGTGAATTTACTGGGTACAGAGGAATAACACCTGAGTCCTCAGGAATGGCAACGCATGCGGGATATCATGGGCGAAACAGTACACTCTGTTATGTCCATGGTACTGCTTATGTCTTATGCTATAGACATATGCAGTACCATGGACATAATAGAGATATTGATATATTTGAGACTTGACATTAATCTATGTCAAGTCTTAAATATTACGAATTAAAAAAAAAATAACTCCCGCCAAATTTATAGAATAAGAGTAGTTGTCAACAAACTCTTTTAAGAAATACAAGTTGAAACCAACAAGAAACTGAACAAAACAAAACCTGTCCATAACCAATAAATAATAAATGAATGAATTAAAAATAATTTACAATACTTCCCCCCAGAGATTTAAAACGTTTTCGTCACGCCACAAAGTGGACGGTGCATGCAAAAACATAATAAGTCAAAAATGTGCTTGACCACTGTAACCCTTTCAGTAGCTGCGGGGCTGCGATAATCTCTTTAACGACCACAAAGGCCCGTCGCAGTAGCCGAGACTCGGAATGGCGACCGTAAATTATGATTGACTTGTTTTTTTAAAGTTAAAAAGGATTTTTTTTTATTCACTGTTAACTTAAATTGAATAAATTTGAGTAGGTAGTCATATTTATTTGGTGAATTTACTGGGTACGGAGGAATAACACCTGAGTCCTCAGGAATGGCAACGCATGGAGGGTATCATGGGCGAAACAGTATACTCTGTTATGTCCACGGTACTGCTCACGTCTATAGGCGACGGTTACCACTTTCCATCAGGTGGACCGTCAACTTGTTTGCCATTCTAAGTTGCATAAAAAAAATATGTTACTAATTAAAAAAAATGGTAACCAAACTATGTCTGTAAACGTTGTAAATTGTCGAATATAAAATATGTGATTATTAGAAAGAAAAAATGTGTTCAAAGAGAATTGTGTGCTTTTATTAGAACAGTGAAGGACAAGACGAAAGGTAATGTCGAATAGTGATTTAAAAATTATGTCAGTCTTTATAAAAAAAAAATATTTTCAGCAAGTATCAACAGTAAATGGGTGGTATTTTAGAAAAAATATATAAAGAGTTTTAATAGAAACCTAAACTATATAGTGAAATCGTAACTGGTCGCTGCCTATACATGGAAGATATACAAGAAAAACTATTATAGAGGGGGCTTTATGAACGTAATAGAACACGAAACAATGATTTTTAGAATTGTCGTCGGTTTGTCTATACGTTTGTGCACGCTAATCTCAGGAACGGCTTAACCGATTTATATGTGGTTTTCACTATTGTGTCGCAGTTTTCTCCACTTAACATTTAGTGTTTGTTTTGTTTCAATCGGTTTATGAATAAAACAAAGTTATATCAATCTAAAGAATCACATATAAAATGCTGTAAAATAACCGATCAGTTGAATTGGCTGAAACTTTATGAAGGTAGGTATATCATATTTTAATTCACAGCATATTTGATATATAGTTTCACGCGTGCAGTGTCGCGGGAAACAGCTAGTTTCTAATAAGTGTAAACCTACATTATGACAAAATAAGATTAGATTTTCTTCTTGGATGTAACACCTTATAAAAATTTGTTTTTTATACAACTTAGAATGGCAATCAAGCTGACGGTCCACCTGACGGAAAGTGGTAACCGTCGCCTATAGACATGAGCAGTACCATTGACATAACAGAGTATACTGTTTCGCCCATGATACATCCCATGCGTTGCCATTCCTGAGGACTCAGGTGTTATTCCTCTGTACCCAGTAAATTCACGCCATATCCCACCCTTCAAACCGAAACACAGCCATGCAAACACAACTGCTTCACGGTAGAAACACGAATGGGACAGAGGTACCCAAGCAATCGACTTTTGTACAAAGTCTCCCTCTGGTAAATAAACCTTAAATATACCTTAATCTGGCTTGTAATTAAAAAAAAAAAACTAGAATTTTACACTAAAATCTCTTATCTGTATCTCTCAGAATTATTCCAACATTAACACAATTTGCATTCCATGACTGGACTAAAAAAAAAAAAAAAAAAACAAAATATTAAAAAAAAATACTTGACAGTACTTTTTTTTTTCTTAACCCATTTAAATGTCATTCAGTGTGACCACAGTGGCACAATTATTGGGTTACAAACAATGAGGTTTTACGCGTAATCCCTCCTTTGTTGCTGGGGTCTTTTGGACCGTGGCTACGTTTTTTTTTTTCTGGTGGCACCTAACCAGCATTACAGGGTTACTGTTCCATTCATACAGTTGAAAGCTTAGTTTTGTTTGAGCAAGCTTCAAGCAATTTGTAAGTTAAAATATACATTTGACTGGCTTTTCATCGCGCAGTGGTTTTTGTTTTGCATAAGTGAAGTCTCAAGTTCGATTCTCCGTGCGGTTAAACTCAAAATTAACTTTATTTAAATAGACTTGTACTAGAGCTCTTTTCAATCGATTTAATTTTTTTTTTAATTCGTTTTTTTTTTAAGTTTGTCACCTCATAACTCCGTCAGTTGTGAACCGATTAGGAAAATTCTTTTTTTCTCTGAATGGTCATACTTACAGATTGGTCCCGTAGAAATTTTATCAAAATCGGTCTAGTGGCTTAGTTTTTAAACCGAAAAAATCCAATTATTTCGTTTTACTGATATTAATTGATATATTTTACAGAACATACATACATACATACATATCTGTCACGCCTGTCTCCCATTAGAGTAGGCAGAAACAATGGAACGCCAAATGCTTCGATTCAAACAAACCTCTTTCGCTTCCTCCACATTCATCAATCTTTTCATATACGCTCGCCGGTTTTATTTTACTGAACTAGATGTTATTTTGTGGAAGTCCATAAATGTCTCGTTTTAAGGTGTAACAAGTGTCGCGAAACGTGCGTGGACGGAATGGCAATCGGCGATTGTTGGCTAAAAGATTGTGGAACTTCTGGTTATAATAGTGGTGGTCAGTCTTTGAGTGTTGGCAGTCACACACATACTAATGGTAGCGGAATTAAACAAAATAATTCTAAACAAATAATTCGAATAAAAGCAGCATGATGATGATGATGAACATCATTATATCGGCTTTTAACTGTCCACTGCTGAACAAAAGCCTCCCCCTTAGAGGGTTTTGCCAGTAATTGCCACGCTTGGCAGACGGATTGACAACCGCAATTAGGTTTTAGAGATGTTTTAAGAGGGACGCTGCTACCCATCCCTCCACCATTAGTGTTATATATATATATATATATATATATATATATATATATATATATATATATATATATATATATATATATATATATATTAAATTCTCAAAGTGAGCAGTAGACAAAATAAGTTTGGGAACCCCTGATCTATATCATCATCACCATATCAGCTTTTACCTGTCCACGTCTGAACATAAGCCTTCCTAGGGGGGTTTTACCAGTACTCGCTTGGCAGGCAGATTGGCAACTGCAACTGCAACTAGGCTTTGGAGATGTTTTAAGAGGGACGCTGCTGCCCATCTCTCGCCCTCTCTTAGTCGCCTCTTACGACACCCACGGAAAAGAAGGGGTGGCCCATTCTACGCCGGGACCACACAGGAGATGATAGTACCTAATGATGAATTCTAATTTAATAATCATCAATACTAATTGAGTTTTACTCCCGCAGGCGAATACGTGATCCAGGGTGACCTTCCGTGCGAGCTGGTCAACAGTGAGGAGTCGCGATTCGACCTGCTCGAGGAGGCACTTCAGCTGGTCGAGCTCGGAGACGAGGCCGAGAGCAAGGATGAGCAGCCGGAGGTAAAAATAGACGCCTGAGAAATTTATAATTATTGAAATAAGATTAATGTTTATTTATTTATTTATTCATTAGTACATATATGTGTACATGGCGAACTTAATGCTAAAAGCATTCTCTCCCAGTCAACCGTAGGGAAGTGTCAGAATACTCGAATGCGGTACTAGTAATTATTGATATGCATACATACTAAAATTACATATATAAACGAATAAATATATATGAATAACAAATATACTTACACATATATGATATGTACTATGTTATACACGAATTTGAGAATAATATAAAGCACTTAATATCTATGTATTATAGACAAATATACAAAAACTTATATTATAAAAAGGAAAGATTTGTTTGTTTGTGTTTTTGTAATGGATAAACTCAAAAGCTACGACTGAGAATCCCATTGCTAGCAATATACCCAACCAGGTCGACCTCCTCGCGGTTCCCCCTGGAAACTATCATGATTAATTTCTGATTAATTCATCATGATGGGCTAACTGGCCTGTTTTCATTCTCATCTGTCACCCTTCACTGGTGCTCCGCCAGCGTATCCCGTTAGCGCAGGCAGGGTTACCATACCATTTTCACCCATCAAAAAAAACCTCCTCATTATTAATAATCCCTGTCAATAATGTTTGTTCTGCCCGCAGGCGGTAGAGGGCAGCAGCAGCGGCGGCGACGCTAGCGCCACAGAGATGTTACACCCGGCGATGCGGCATGTGCCGCACCACCCGCTCGCTCACTATCACAACCAGGTGAGTGATGATTGGCAGCTAACATACATTTATAAGGGGAAAGGAATTGCTAATAATGAGGTCTAATAGCCCCATTGTTAGCAATACACCCTCAGGTCGACCTCCACGCGGTTCCCCTTGGAAACCACCATGGTTAATTCTTATCGAATTCATCATGATGGGCCAACAGACCTTTTTGTTTTTTTTTTAACGTCTGGAAAATGCTTTATGCAGACCCATACACCTTGTGGGAGGTGAATGGATACTCAGGTGGAGTGTACCCACCAAAAACCAGACGATATAGCCTCGAGGTGCCATATGTCTGAGACATGGGTTCGCTTTCGCAGTCACCACATCTCCGACGGCAGCGACCCGCCCCCAGATGGTAAGAGCAGGTCTCCTCTCTCAAGATAGGATGGATGGCGTGGTCACACTACCACTCGGAGGACGCGCCGATATATTAGCACATCCCCCAGGGTGGGCCAACTGACCTACCTATTCATTCTCACCTATTGTATATTGCTAAGTTGGATACGCGACAAGTGAACACAGAGTTCGGTTACATACTGCTTGAATAAATGAGGTAGATATCTTATAAAGGTGGTATAAACATACTTATATCTAATATATATGGGGGATGATCACCTATCATCCCCCACTGATGCCTCGCCAGCGTATACCGATAACACGGCCGGGGCACTATTTGATTTTCACCCAGAAAAAAGTATATTTAGAGAGAATTTAATGAGCTTTCTACGTTTGTCGAAATTTCCAGGTCGAACGAAACACAAATTTGATATTTAAATTACATAATACATACCGTTTAAAAATGATCATCATCATCATCATTGTCATGGCAGCTTTTAACTGTCCACTGCTTGACATAAGTTTCCCCCTTGGAGCGGTTTTGCCAGTAGCAATAATAATAAGAAAATACGTACCTATCGTGATACAATATCAATGACTGGATAATATTGTAACAGATCCATAGACTATTTCCAAAGTGAAAGAAGTGTTGTCCTCCTCTCTCGTACTCGCTGTGCCCAACAGGGTCCATAATTGAAACGTTATCTACAAATTATATTATGGAATGCAATAAGAAATAAATAAATAGTTACCACGCTTGGCAGGCGGATTGGCGACCGCAGTTAGGCTTTGGAGATGTTTTAAGAGGAACGCTGCTGCCCATTCCTCGCCCTCCCTTAGTCGTTTACGACACTTACAGGAAAGAAAGGGGTGGCCTATTCTATGCCGGGACCACACGGCCACATATATATAATATAGACATGTATACTTAGTAACTTTCGTTATAAACATCTTATATCGCCAAAAAATAACAAGAGCCGAAGAATTTTTGTTTTTAATGGGTGATAATGGAATGGTAGCCCCGCCTGCGCTAATGACATACGCTGGCGGGGCACCAGTGAGGATGATGGATGAGAATGAAAAAGGTAGAACAGTTTTCCCATCGTGATGAAAATACTAGGAAATCAGCACGATGGTTTCCAGAGGGGACCACGTGGAGGTCGACCTGGTTGGGTATATTGCTAGCAATAGGGCCCTTAGTCCCCATTACTAACAATCCCTTCCCCCCTGAGCCGAAGAATTGTAGTAGGTGCTTGAAGTACATCAAGCGCGGAAGGTCTTAAGAGCGGCAAAGGCTAACGCGGCACCGACAGAATCAAAGAGAACAGAAAAAATAAAAATTTCTCCAAACTGAGTAATGATAAATGAGCTAGTGTCATAGGATCACACCACACACGACGCGCGCACGGTTAACCTCCGGCGCGAGTTACAGGCGGACGCGGATTTTTATTTACTTTATATTTTTACCACACTGAGACTTTGTATAAAATTCGTTCGCTTGGACACCTCTGTCTTATTCGTGTTTCTAGTATGAAGCAGTTGTGTTTGCATGGCTGTGTTTCGGTTTGAGGGGTGGGATATGACAGTGAATTTACTGGGTACAGAGAAATAATTTCCGAGTTCTCAGAAATGGCAACGCATGGGGTGTATGATAGGCGAAACAGTATACTCTGTTATGTCAATGGTACTGCTCATGTCTATAGGCGACAGTTACCGCTTTCCATTAGGTGGACCGTCAGCTTGTTTGCCATTCTAAGTTGCATAAAAAATACTTTATGTTAGCGATTCGACTTCACACTGGTATCTACCCGTCTATCTATCTCGAATATTCTATCTAGAATATTCAAGATTAATATATAGCCTATATTACTTGCTGATAATGTAGCTTTCTTTTAATAAAAGGATTTTTAAAACAGGTTGAGTGTTTCTTCATTACTAACAAATCAGTGCTTGCCATGTGGTCCCGGCATAGATTAGGCCATCCCTTTCCCTTCCCATAGGTGTCGTAAGACACAACTAAGGGAGAAGGCAACTATATGATTTACAGTTCTTATTTTATTATTCCTTCTATGTAATTCCTTGTTCTCAGTACGGACTAGTCAAAAGGCAGATGCGTTTTTATATATCTATCCCTTTCTGACGCATTGGCAATGTCATACGTACAACGAGCAACACACTATGTGAATTATGCATTCCATTTGTTCTTTTCCGAAATCTTTGAGTCCGTTGAAGTGAAATTCATCGTGTTATATCACTTGGTTTTATTGGCCGTATAACCCTACCAAATTCAGATACAACCTGCTTGCATACTCTCTACATAAACTGTGTCGAATATATAATCTAGTAATGTAAAATTTGTTATTGGCAAATAATTGACATATCAACATGTTTATAATTACTCTCCATCCAAAGGTTGCCTGCAAGAGATCGCTCTTAACGATAAGGTCGCCCATTTTTTTCTCATTGTGATTATTTCTTGTAATTGTTTATATTTATAATAAGTTTACTATTGTAATCTTTTGGAGGAAACAATAAAGAGTATCTATCTATCAAAAAAGATTTGAGAAAAATAGCAACTGATGGTGTATCTTTCGTCCTCTTTTTACTAATTATATTTGCACAAGAAGAAAGGAGACAACCGTATGATTTACAGTTTTTATTTTATCGTTCCTTCTACGTAATTGCTTGTTCGCATCTCGCTCGCAACTTGCCCCATACGTTTCCACGCTCACAATGCTAGAAATACAATTAATCAAACCCATGACAATTACGAGATTTGGACAAATTGTTAGTTAATTTTTTTTAATCTCTCTTTGTTTGTGGCTACCGTAGCGTGTATCTGAAGCTACGTATGTAATGTATAATTAAATAGTTTTCTACGTAGATCTTTTATTACTCAACGGGCTATGGAGAGGGCTGTGCTCGGAGTCTCTATGCGTAATATAATCCGAAACAAGGATATCCGCAGAAGAATCAATGTAACCGACATAGCCCGAAGGATAAGCAAGCTGAAGTGGCAATAGGCTGGTCACATAGCTCGAATAACCGACAACCGATGGAGAAAAAAAATCTTGAGTGTCGACTCCGTACAGGCAAACTGCAGTGTAGGAGTACCCTCCAATAGATGGAGCGACGACCTCGAATGCATTGCAAGGAGTGAGTGGATGCAGGTGGCTCGCAACTGTTCATTGCGGCAGTATATATAGTATATATAGGTGAGGCCTATACTCAGTGGATCGAAGATCCGACAATCGATAGGGAAGAAAGTTTCTTGGTTGGCGACCGCGTACGAGCAAATGCAGTGTAGGCCCCCCCCCCCATTAGATACAGTGATGACCTCAACTGCATTGAAGTCAGTGGTTGTAGGTGGCTCAGAACCGTTCATTATGGCAGTCTATGGGGGAGGCTTATGTCCAGCAGTGGACGGATAATGGCTGGAATGAAACGTAGATCTTTCCCAGGGACTTTGTTTATTGCTTGGGTACGTCTGTCCCATCCATGTTTTTGTCGTCAAACTTACAACAATTAGAAAGATAAAACACACGTATATAGAGGGAGACTATGTATAAAAGTCGTTTACGTGGGGACATTTATCCCACTCGAGTTTCTGTCGCCCATCAGCTGTGTTGCAGTTTGAAGGGTGGGATATGGCAGTGAATTTACAGGGTACAGAGGAATAACACTTGAGTCCTTAGGGACATTAAGAATTATTAAAGAAAAAATGAAAACTATTGAACACTTTTTCCAAAAGAACATGGGCCGAAAAACGTTAAAAAATGTTAATTTTTCCATGCCCAGTTGAGTAATTAAAGATTCTATTCCAAAAACCGACTTTAATTCAGAAAAACCCAGTTATTTCGATCTAGAAACTAAACCACTAGACCGATTTTGATAAAATTTCTACGGGACCAATCTGTAAGTATGTCCTTAGTATTATGTAAAAAAAGAACTTTCCAAATCGGTTAACAACTGACGGAGTTATGAACTTTTTGAAGTCGGTTAAAAATTCAGACGACCCGATATCGACATCCGATGAGTCACGAATATTGGGTGGAATTCGATTCTCGTCAACCGATTATCGATTGTAAATCGGACATCGATTAATGAAATACGTTCGCTGATGGTAATCAATTAAATCGGTATGGACTGCGGCATTGTGGATTTTTTAAATTTAATATTACGTCTGAAGTATATATATATATATATATATATATATATATATATATATATATATATATATATATATATATATATATATATATATATATATATATATATGTTACGTATATTATCTATCTATCTATCCATTTAAGAGCTGCGCTCTTGTCGGTGGAGCTCTTGCCACTCACTACGATTTTCAGCGAGTCTCTTCACCTCTCGATACGACACGACACCAACTCCTTCCTTGATCTGCCTGATGTAACTATGTCTCGGTCTCCCTCTTCCCCACCTTCCTTCTATCTTACCTTCTATTATAATGTTCATAAGTTGGTCGTGTCGTATCAAGTGTCCCAACATTTTTCCCCTTCTGTCCTCAATAGTTCTAATAATTTGTCTTTTTCCCTTAACCCTAAGCAGGACCTCCTCATTGCTAATTCGATTCCTCCAGCTAATTTTCTCCATTATACAATATTATAATATACAATAGTTGCAAA